TTATAGTAAATTTAAAGTCAAGTCGAATTAAAATACAAATTTTGAACCTACGATAAATAAAGACACGAAAATAAGAACTGTTTATGACAAAGAAGAAAATGTTACCCACAAGACCTAGGAGAGGCAGAGTGTGGGCAGAAATTGGAAACAGCTGTGTTTTAGGGAGCGTCTGACCATACTGCCTGAGGCGCAGAGGTGGTGGGCGAGGGAAGCAATACTAGTCGCAGTGAGTCGGTCGGTCACGAAGGCCTTTCATTGTGCGACTAAAAGAAACTACAAGTGTGAATGATACAATATTATGTCGGTGGGCATTGGCTTGTGTGACTGATGCTGTGAGGTATTTTACTGAATATTTTGAGATACTGTACATGTTCATATGCTTACACACGTACACGCATACACATGAGCATACCCACACACATAAATTTACGCAATACAATCATACATATAAGTCTTCTAACTAGTTGGTAGAGACGATTTTTTGGTGTTGAAAAATAATCTTTTATGGAGTAATTCTCGACCCATGATTAATATTACGTTTATTCAGTCGTGAGAGAGAGAGAGAGAGAGAGAGAGAGAGAGAGAGAGAGAGAGAGAGAGAGAGATCGACCGTGAAGGAAGTTCAGTATGATGTCAGTTAATTGTATAGCTTACACTACCCAAATTAACAGCAGCTAAGCACTAGCTCATCACTACCGTCTCACTTGCTAGATGACATCCCTATATCCTCCACGCACCTCTGACTTGCACAGGTGATCAAATGCCCAGCTCTCAGTGGACTTGAGGAAGAGAAAAATCTTGAACACGTTATTGTTGACATCATAACCAACAGCATCCCATCATACCAATATCAAACATCATCACCCGCACCGTCACACACCAGAAGTCACGTGTGAATATTAAATACTGTCTTTGACTGTCAGTGTACATTATGAAATTATGCTATAGGTCTCTATGTATAAATTCACAAACACACACACACACACACAAACAAACACACACACACACACACACATACACATACACACACGAAGGTGCATGTGCGAGGATGCCTGGATGAATATTGCATAGGTATGTGAATATGTGAATGTATAAAGAAAACTTGCAATATATGTTTACATATTTGTATGATGTATATATAAATATGCAATATGTAATCACGTGTGTGCGCATGTAGAGTGTAAGATGCACAAACGTGTATGCATGACCTATATTTACAATGTGACGTTTGATAGCCAACAAACAAGACCGTCCAACTTACTTCTCCTCAGCGGCGCTCGCCTTCTCCCTGGCGTCGTGGGCAACGTGTTCCTCTTCGTAGTAAATCTTCTTAGTTCGGTCTAGATCCTGTACCTGTGTCTGCAGCTCGCTCTGGATCACCTTCAGCTGGTCAGCGAACTGTAGGGTGAAAATATGAGGTATTAAGTAAACATTTGTCATGAAGGGAGATTATCGCTAGGGGGGGGGGAGGAAAGGGAAGGAGAGAAGGGGTAGGAGGGAGGGAGGGAGGGAGGAGGGAGAGAGGAAGGGAGGTAGTGGGAGAGGAAACGCTCGGACACAATACGCTCTCAAATTTTCTGTCAAGGGGGAACGATAAGCGGTATTTCTTTCCATCTCTCTGTGAGTCAAATATTTTCGTTCAACTCATGCAATATAACTGGAAAAAACACACGAAAAGAACCGACAAAAATAACAAATAAAAGTAAAAATCGATGACATCATAAAGACTCAGGAATGATTCGTTATACAATTAGGAAAAGTACTCGACATCTTGAAGTCGTTAATAAGACGCCTAAGTTTGACCGTCTCTTACATGTGAAAAGTTTCCATCAGTCAAGTCCCTAAACCTGAATTACGGTCTGACTAAAAACTGGTAAAAAAAAAAAATATATATATATATATATATATAAATCGGCAAGTAGAAGAGAAATTTTGGATTATCTGAAGATTAACCTCTATTTTAACTTAAGATTAACCACCCTGACGCAAACATAACCTAACCTAACCCCTCCCATGTACGCTAAGGTGCTTAATTATAAGGCGAGCTCGGGGCGGGGGGCAAGGGGGCGGGGGGCCTAATCTGCACGTGATCTAAAAGTTGATCTAAAATTTGTAATATCTCGAGAAAAAAATTATGCTAATTCTTATTGTTCTCTCCGAAAATAAATTCCCCCCCAAAATAACACGCGTGTAGAAGGTAATGATGAAGATAAAAGTCAATTGTCGGGAGGAAACTCAATTTGTGTCTAAGTTTAGGAGGCATAATGGACCTGTCTTCCACCAGCAGACACTGTCGCGTCAACAGACAGCCCTGATAGACACCCACAACACCAGCAGATAACCTTGACACACACTCACAACACCAGCAGACAGCCCTGACACACCCAAAACACCAACAGACATCCGTAACAGGCACTCACAACACCAGCAGACAGCCCTGATAGACACCCACAACACCAGCAGATAACCTTGACACACACTCACAACACCAGCAGACAGCCCTGACACACCCAAAACACAAACAGACAGCCCTGATAGACACCCACAACACCAGCAGACAGCCTTTAACACACACCCACAACACCAGCAGACAGCCTTTAACACACACCCACAACACCAAGAGAGCTTAACACACCCACAACACCAGCAGACAGCCTTAACACACACCCACAACACCAGCAGACAGCCTTAACACACACCCACAACGCTAGCAGACACCTTCCACACACACCCACAACACCAGCAGACAGCCTTTAACACACACCACAACACCAGCAGACACCTTTAACACACACCCACAACCACCAGACAGCCCTGACACAGACACCCACATCACCAAGAGAATCACTCACAATTCTCGCTCTTCAACCACCTGAAAGACACCAGGCATAGAGGTGTCCTGTCCGTGAAATATCAGCTCAGAATTTGATATCTTGAACCTGGTGAGAGAGAGAGAGAGAGAGAGAGAGAGAGAGAGAGAGAGAGAGAGAGAGAGAGAGAGAGAGAAGAGAGAGAGAGAGAGAGAGAGAGAGAGAGAGAGAGAGAGAGAGAGAGAGAGAGCCCCGCTGAGAAGAGAAAAGAGAAAGAGAAATACAGGTAAATTAATTGGGATAGTTGAAGCAGACTATTACACCTTTATATTCACTATTAATCCCATCACTATTAAACACACAGGTGTACTATTACACTACCGTCGTTTATATATCCTAGGTTTTAGGCCAATTGCAAGAACGGTTATGGGGTATACGACGCCATTTACGATGACCTTCTTGCCCTGGTCTTTTTTCAGCAATATCGCCTTTAACACATGGAATTCTGCACTTTTCGAAGCTTTGGACGAGTCTCGAAACAAGTTTCCTGGTGGGAATTATTAGCTAGTGCTGTACTTAAACTATCGAAACTTCGAGATCTCTCCAGAGCTTCAAAAGGGTGGTATTCCTGAAACAAAATCAGGGCAAGAAGGTCATCGTAAACGGCGTCGTACACCCCATAACAGGACTTCCTTACAATAATGTTAATATGGTCGGTCACTTATTTAAGATTGTTATGCCTTGATGATCCTCTGTCCCGCCTCATACCTGAAGCTAACAGACACATAGTAAAGATAAGACACGGTAAAGATAACAGAGACAGTGAAGATAACAGAGACAGTGAAGATAACAGAGACAGTGATGATAACGGATACAGTGAAAATAACAGACCTAGCCAAGATAACAGAACACATATACAGTAAAGATAACAGAGACAGTGAAGATAACGGACACAGTGAAGATAACGGACACAGTGAAGATAACGGACACAGTGAAAATAACAGACCTAGCCAAGATAACAGAACACATATACAGTAAAGATAACAAACAGATGCTCATATTATTTAAATTAGAACATAAAGACTTAAGATTTTTCCTTCTTCTGTGATTCCAAAAGAAATCATGTGACTTCACGGTTGAGAACATCACACCCCTGACTTCCTAACACTCATCGTTCACCTCACATTAAACTGTCACTAAAAGTTAATTTCCTGACCGAGATTATGTGACACAAAGTTTAAAAATGTTTTCCCTCGTGATATACAAAGTAGTTATAAGTTGTTGTTGTTGTTGTTTATCCAACTATTATAATGGCTAACTTAAGACGTGAGACGAAAGGGTAAGTGTGTGTGTGTGTGTGTGTGTGTGTGTGTGTGTATACAGTAATGATTCTGTGACGTTTCAGAAGGAGCAATGTTGTGATTTACTCAGTCATTTTCCTATGCCTGGTTTTGACACCATTCCACCAACACTCAATCAGATGGGAGGCTTCACAGCATTACGAATTTCCTTGATTTGATCAGTCGGTGTGTCAATTATTTTTGGTTCAAATGAATCTAAATTGCCACGCTGAAGTTTGGCAGCGATTGGATGCGGACAGGTTTCCAGATATTGTTCAGCAACAAGAAAGGCAATTATGAACTCGGATAACAGCCGAGTTGTGTAGAGTTCTTGGCCTTTAGTTTGGGTATCTGCATCTCATGACCAATTTTTACTACCAACTATAGTTAGGTTAGGTTACGTTGTTACGTTAGAAAGTAGAATTGGGTCCCATAGGCATGACAGACGGACACAGTGATGGAGAGCGAGTATAAATGCAACCATCTTCCCCACAGTCCTCTTACTTATAGGATAGATCTTCCCTTGTAAAATTTAAGAAGTCTTCAAGATGATTAAGATATAATGAATTATTGCACTTCCATAACTAAGATCTCCAAGCGCTTTCTCTCCTTCTAAACCCTTTTCCTTGAACTAGAAGAGACGATCATCAACGGGTAATCTCGTTATAGTTCAATATGTTCCCTATGTTGTCCTCCCTCACTTACCTTCTTCCCGAGGTGGATCTTGTTCTGCCTGGTCTGTTTCGCTTCCTCAGATATATTCTGCTGGAACACCTCGACGGCCGCCAGTCTCGCCTTACCCAGTTTCTCCGTCTCGTCCAGCACCGTCCGCCACACGCTGTACACGTTCCTGCAACACACATCAAGATGATAACATTATCTGCATCGTGTTCAGTGCTTCCTGCAACACTCGTCAAACTGTTTACATTGTCTGCAACATATTCTAATATTTTAAAGCTCCTGAAATATATCTCATACTGTTTATATGGTCTGTAATAGATAACAAATGTTCGAAACTTCTGCAACAAGGAAAGTGGTTTGCAATTTCTGCAAAACTTATTAAATCATCTTATAATCCCTGGATCAAATGCCAAATTACTAATAGCTTCTGTAATACATTCGTAATATTAAACAATACTTTCTATATCACTTTATAATAACTTTTCATTTCCAGCAACACACTCTGAAGGATAAACAGTTTTTACCACACACGTACAGTACTATACACACACACATACAAAGGCGAAACAGTCTTCAACAAAATATATACCAAAAAATAGTTTACTTCCTGTAAATACAGTATGCATCAACCAAAAAAAAAAAAATTCTTCGTGAATTCATTATCGACTTCGTCCCTGAAACGGTCATAAAATTTTTGCAATTTTTCTCAAATTAAACACGGTCGGTAAGGCCAGGAATATCGTTATTAAGCGCAGCGCTTTGACGGAATTTAATTTCATCTTTAATTTTTAATCGTAGCTCATGAAAAAAAAGTTCTTCGGCATTTTTAATAGTGACGAAGGAATACTGATGACAATATTACTACTACTACTACTCAATAATAATAATAATAATAATAATAATAATAATAATAATAATAATAATAATGCAATGATGACAGAAGAACAAACTTTGTCATTGAATTACAAGAAAAAAGTATTCATGCCAGCCTGACCCAGAATCACTTCCCCTAATATAATTCCAACCCCATCGTCCATTATTATGAAAACTACAGCAATGAAAAGTAAGGATGGACGACAAAACTTTCCTTCATAAATAGTTAACGTCAGGGTGCCAAGGAGGTGCCGCCTGTGGTGAGAGTAGGTGTATGTCCTGGCACTGCGGGGTTTAGTGCCTTCCATGGCCACAGGGTGAGAGCAGAGTGCCAAGACTCACAAGCTAGACAGGAAAACTGAACCACCAGAGTACAGTGCCACCATAGCAGGAGATTATGGTGCCAAGATGACTCCGGCAGCATGGCATTCAACCATAAGACAGTATAATGTAAAGGTGACGCAGTATGTTGTAGGCACTCAACAACCAAAGGTCAACGCCACTGCGGGCATAAGTCTGGCGAATATTTATGTGGCGTAGTTTTTTCCCCATAAGCGTGTCATTGTAGACCGCAAAGGGAAAACATCAGACGCTGTTGATTGCTAGTGCTGGCGCCACACCCCTGTCGCCCCCAAAAGTCTCCATCTCCCTGACACCGCTATGGCAACATTATTTATGATGATGTTGTTGGCTACACTGACCTTACTTCTTGGTACGACAACTTTATATTTTGATACGACAACTTTATATTTTGGTACGACAACTTTATATTTTGATACAACTTTATATTTTGGTACGACAACTTTATATTTTGATACGACAACTTTATATTTTGGTACGACAACTTTATATTTTGATACGACAACTTTATATTTTGGTACGACAACTTTATATTTTGATACGACAACTTTATATTTTGGTACGACAACTTTATATTTTGGTACGACAATTTTATATTTTGGACAACGACAACTTTATATTTTGGTACGACAACTTTATATTTTGATACGACAACTTTATATTTTGGTACGACAACTTTATATTTTGGTACGACAACTTTATATTTTGGTACGACAACTTTATATTTTGATACGACAACTTTATATTTTGATACGACAACTTCATATTTTGGTACGACAACTTTATATTTTGATACGACAACTTTATATTTTGATACGACAACTTTATATTTTGGTACGACAACTTTATATTTTGGAACAACAATTTTATATTTTGATACGACAACTTCATATTTTAGGTCGATTACTTTTATAATTTTTCTACTGTAACTTGATAATTTGGAAAGTTTACTGTCTACGTATCTATTCTAATTGTATCTTATAGAACAACAACTTAATACTGTATCTACATCAGGCATAGCAAGACATAAGGCATATGGGTCTTTCTTTCACTTCTTCACGTAACGATTCACATACACACTCATACATACACAGAAGGGTAGATACAATATAAACACACACATACAAACATATACACACACACATACACATACCTAACCTAACCTTTCACACGAACCTTTTCATCTGAATTTTCGGCGCCAAGATATTTTCATCTCTTAAAATATTCAGCAAAAATAATTATAGAATTAAATCCCCTTTTTCCTTACGTGGTTCTGCAAAACACCAGAATTTTGTGGCTTTTGGGGGGGGATTTTTTTTCTTAACTTGATATGTTTTTATATGTAACTTCATCTATAGTGAATATATTTCTCTAGTAACTTAATTTACTCGTAGTGTATCTTACTCTAGCTATGACAGACAGACAGACAGACAAATATAGAAAAAGTCAAAAACAAAACAGAGTTCAAGGAGAGACTTAGTGTGTGCTTCATCCCAGCCAAGTGTTGAAGGGAGATCGCTGCCTCTTATAAACGCGGTAAAAGGCTCAGTAAGGTGGCATTTAGGTGTTTTTTTAAAGCCATTTATACCTGGTTTGGGATCTCTTTTGTTTACCGAGAATGCGCTCTTGGAATCCATTTATTCAAGAGGTTTATGCTTGGAAAAGAATTTGGTTGTTTATTATAAGTAAAACAGTGGGTGAATATGGTCTGTGGATATTTGTTCGTTGTTAACGGGTTAATGAAGGCTTGTGTTATCGTACTTAAGGGGCTGTGTTATCGTACTTAAGGGGCTGTGTTATCGTACTTAAGGGGCTGTGTTATCGTACTTAAGAGGTTGTATTATTGTACTAAAGGGATTGTATCATCGTACTCAAAGGGTTAAGATATCGTATTAGAGGGATTATGAAAGAATTCCTCGCAATACAAGATATCAGAATACATAATATGTCAACAACTTCCTCTAATAAGGCGGCCGTGGTCTTTTACAGTCGACCATGGAGACAGCTATCTCCTGGTCTGTCGGGACTTCCCCTCCCCATCTCCTCCTCCCTACCTGGATTTGTCAACATCCTCAGCATCATCCCAGCATACAGTACAAAGAATGTCAATCAACCCACAACTGATATACATGTGATAATTTCAACTCACATGGAATAGAGACAAGTGTTAGATGGTGATAAGTTAATTCCCCGTGGTCAGGAGTCACGATCTACCTAGACCTGACCACTTAATACCCACCACTACCACACTGACACCAGGCTCCGCTACACCAATTGGGATATGAGGAACTTCAACGACACCAGGTGAGAAACGAGGGCTCCCAAATCCATCAGGTGAGAAATGAGAATTACCAACATCAAATGAGAAACAAAAACCCTTCCCCAACACCCTGTGAGCTGAGGGCATGGAAGTGTAAATCGGAGACCAGGAGTGCATCAAGTTGTGAAACCTTCTCTACTGTAGGAAGGCATTCAAGGCACCGCGATCAACTCCCCAGACAGTTTACAAGGCCGGCTGCCGAGATCACTTACATATCTGTAGTTAATTTGTACGTTCACTCCATGTTACTTCTCTTTTTGTACTGAAAGCTTTTGTCAATCAAGTAACTTATATTATCTCTGTTTATTGTATATTTTCAGTTTTTTAGCTGCCACGATGTTATAGAGAAATCCGACTGAGAAAGACTTAGGTGTAATGATAAGTAGGCGTTTTAAATCAAGTAAACAATGTGCATTCGCTCGAAACAAGGCCAGCAAAGTACTTGGGTTCATACAAAGGAGTGTTAGTTACAAGACTAGCGAGGTCATCCTAAAACTGTATCTTGCATGCGCGCTTGGGAGACCTTACATGGAATACGCAGTTCAATTCTGGTCACAGTACGACAGAATGGACTAGCATCCCTAGAAAGAATTCAGAAGAGAATGACAAGACTAATCCCAGGCATTAGGAACATTGAGTATAGATACAGGTTAAAGCATCTTAATTTGCACTCCCTCGAGAGACGTAGAGTGAGGGGCAATATGATCGAGATGAATAAGTGGAATCAGGGCTAAGCAAAGGGGACATTACAAAGGTACTCAAACTATCCAATCAGGAGCGAGCTCGTAACAATGGTTATAAATTAAACAAATTTAGATTTAGGCGCGAAATAGGTAAACATTGATTTGGAAATATAGTAGTGGACGAGTGGAATAAGTTACCAAACATCATCATTAACTCTAATACGCTGGATACCCTCAAACATAGGCTAGATGGATATATGAGCGATAGGGGCTGGATGTAAACGGGACTGCCCAGTATGGACCAATAGGCCTGCTGCAGTTTCCTCCATTCTTATGCTCTTATGTCCTCAATAAACCGTTAATTATTATTATTAAACACACACACGCGCAAATGTAAATGGCTTTTCTGTTTTATTCTGTTATTTATTCGTCTTTATATACTTATGGTGACCTGAAAGCCAGTGCATCGTTGGCCATGAAAATTAAACAGAAGAAGCTACTCGTCTGACACCCTGAACACTGTCTCCACTCTGCTGACTTTGCTGACTATATAATTATTCTATTGAACGTCTGACTTTACTGAAGATTTTATTTTACTGTTAATCTAACTTTACTTGCTGGCCATATTTTTACTTGACTGTCTAACTTTACCCGACTGTTTAACTTTACGTGACTGTCTAACTTTACGTGACTAACTCCACTGACTATATAGCTCTATTGACATACAAAATATATATTTTATGTATGCTAAACTATACATACAGGTATACATATATAAACAAATACATTTTAATAGACAGGTTTAGATACATGAAACAGAGGTAAGTACTGAACATAAGGCCTTAATGACTACAAAGTGTGAAAACAAAGACATTTTTTTTCTTCCCTTGTTCTTTGGCTTTCCTTGTCTGCTTTCACTGTTATGTAACTCTT